GAGGAGATGCTTATTCAGTCTGGAGAAGAGAAGACTGGGAAGGGATTTAATAGCAGCTTTCAACCACCTGAAGGGCAGTTCCAAAGAGGACGGAGCTGGACTGTTCTCAGTGGTGGCAGGTGACAGAAGGAGGAGCAATGGTCTCAGGTTGCAGCAAGGTTAGATATTAGGAAAAATGTTCTCCCTAACAGGGTAGTAAAGCACTGGAACAGGTTACCCAAGAGAGGCTGTGGAATCTCCATCCTTTGTAGATTTTTAAGAACGAGCTAAACAAAGTGTTGGGTGGTACAATCCTGGTTTGAGCAGCAGGTTGGACTAGATGACCCGAGGTCCCTCCCAACCCTGACTTTCTATGATTCTATGACTTCCTGAAATTCCTTCCAGTTCTGCTGCTCTATGGCATTTTTATTTAAACGATTTGTATAACTATAAATTTAGATCTTAAATATGGTGGCTGTTTTAAAATAAAATTCAAACGTATTTGTAAAGAGAGCCCAGTAAGTTGAATGTAAAACATTAATATTATTAAAAATATATTTTTAAATTTCTATTTAAAAAAAAAAAAAAATATCTGCTCTGCCACACTTGGAATGAGGGGAATACTTGGAATTCACACGGTATTCCTGAGAAATGTGCTTTCAGGCTGATTTTTGTGTTGCGGGGGGGGGAGGAAGGATCAACAAATATATTAATGTAATCTCCAGGAGGGAGATAGAGAGAGTACTGTACTGTACTACCTAGTGTCTTTATTCTGAAGCAGAATTTCAGCCATTAGAGCAGGCAACCTCATTTCAAACAAGAAAAGTACATTGTAAAGAAAAAGAATTATGACCAGTTATACTACACATTAGTAACATAATTCAAATTGTTTGAATTCTAATCTGATATAAAACCCTGATTCTAATTTATTTAATTCCATTCAGAAAATGAAACAAGACTGCTCTATTTTGGGGTTTTTGGTTTTCAACCTGACATTCTACATTTAGATGCTCAGCTATGCCGAGGAAAGCTTTTATTTCAGCTTAATTGAAACTGAAGCAGAAGCTGAAGTATATTTTATTGAAGGCTTTATTGAATTCTTTAACAGAATCTAGATACAGGGAATAAAACTAGCTAAATTCTCCTTTTTAAGTGCATTTTATGATCTATGCTAGACTTAGCCTTTTCTGAAATGGATGGAAATATTAATGAAGCCTCATGCATTTTTTGTAGGCAGTGTTGAACTACTTAATCTGACCTGAATTAGCATGTGCCTGCTGGCACGCAAAAACAAATTGCAATATTTTTATGCATGAGATTTACTGAAGGAATAATGGGGATCTAGTGCAAAAGGAGGATTAGGGTGGTTTGATTCTGAGCGGAAAGATGCTGCACAGTATCACTTCTTTGCTAGATTTGGAATTGACTTTATGATACAGCCCCATGGTACAAGGAAGTTTTTGCTGCGAGAGGGGAATTGTTGACTTGTTAGTGATTATGAGAGCAGCAATCTGCCGAACTGTGGAAGACTATTAAAATAATGTGGATGATGATAAATTAGTATGACCCATTTTTCATTTTTTATAGCATTACTATATAATCTTTCTTTTAGGTGATAGTACTAGAAATTGTATAATTAGTTGCATAATACTGCTTAAAGAGTAGTCATGTATAGCTCAATGTCAGGCAGAGAGGAGGTATCAAGGGAGTTTCCTAGGGTCTGTCCTGCATGAAGTACTGTTCAATGTCTTCATTAATGACTTGGAGGATGGAACTGAAGATTCATTTAATCGGGTGCCATCTGCAGATTTACTGGGTTCGGGTGGTAGGCACTTTAGAGAACAGGCTGGCAAGCACAAAACGTGAGATTTAAAAAGAAGCAACCAAATGCAAAAATACAAAATAAGGAATGGCTGGCTGAGCTGTGATAGTGCAAAACAGGATCTGGGGTTAGTGAAGCATAAGCGAAATATGAATCAACAATATAATATTGTTGAAAAAGAGCTAATAGCATACTATGATGATTTAACAGGATTGTTGTGATTCTTCCACTCAATGGAGGCAGTGATTCTTCCACTCTGTTCAGCATGGTTCAGGCTTAGTTGGAGGACTATGTCCAGGCTCTGTCACCAGATTATTAAAAGAGATGTGGACAAATTTGGAGGGAGTCCAGAGAGCAATACACATTGGAGCTCTCACATAATGCCCGAGGAAAGGTTGGAAGAATTGAGATTTAGATCAGACAAGAGGAGACAAGACTGAGGGGAGATTTTGATAAGCATGATGGTGATTAAACTGTTCTCAGGAGATGTGGTGTCCTGATGGTAAAGGGAGCTAGAGGTTGCATATTAGGAGGAACTTTCTAGCTATGGTGGTGGTGAAGCACTGAAACAGTTATTTGGAGAGGCTAACAGAGATTGGGGAGGGGTGGGGAGAAACTTCCAGTGATTAACACTTGTCTGGGAGAGTTAGACAGGGATGATCCAGCCTTGAGGCAGTTGGGTTGGATTGGGTGACCACCTGAGATCCCTTCCAGACCTATTTCTCTCTGATTCCTGACTGCTAGACCAGGTCTGCATTGCAATCTGGTATCATTTATATGAGCTAAAAGTGTGGCAAAGCAACTAACCCATATAGCTATGCTGGCATCCCTACCATGTAGATTAACTAACTATACCAGAAAAGGATTCCTCCTAGAAGTTGCATCTCCGCTAAGGAGCTTTGCTGTTCTGGCGCTCTCAGCTAAGCCTTTGTACTCTAGATTCATTTCTGGTGTTTTGTATTTATGTACATCTTAATCAGCCTGCATTCAAATATTTTTCTTATGGTGCCATGAACAGTGTTCTACCAAAAACAATTGGTTTGTGGAGGGAGGGAAATCTGTGCAAAACAAAGAGATTGGGAAATGGGTATCAGGAGATGCACTAGAAGATCCTGCAGGCAATAGGGAGATATCACCTGATGAAAAATGAGAGAAAAGGCAATGGAAAAGCCACATTTTGTGTTGAGGGGTGAAGTTGAAACCTACATAGAGCAGCTATGCCTTGATTTGTAATGCGTAGGCACCAGCTAAATAAACTTTCTGTTTACTTTCCATGTGCAGTAAAAGCCAGTTTCTGTCTGTCACTGCTGTTGAAAACCGCTGCTTGTTACATGCAATTTGGCCCAGTTCTACCAAATGAGGATCTTTTATGTTTCCCAGAGGGAAATGGGGGTCTTAAAGGCTTATGAACAGAATAATAGCATTGGATTAGATTAAAAGGCATGAGTCTATTTTGCTCTTGGATCCCTGAGCATGGTTGTAAGCTGGCACAAGCTCTGGGTCTCGGGCACTCACACCAGTCTCTGTATCCAGATGCCCTTTCTTTGGTTATTCCGTAATGGAAGACTATTTGCAGATCTATGCTTCTGAAAAGCATGGAAACGCAGGTCTCCAGATGTATGCACTCTGGTCAAAAGTAGAGGTTTTGCACCATACTGAAAACATTTGCAAGGCACTGAGTGAGATGACCTCATTTCCTAGATTGCCACTAACCTGACTGGAGATAATTACAAATGACTGCTTAAATGTGAAGTCAATAGGAAGTCATCTAGATGCATGTAGTATTACATGTCCAGCAGCTGGGATACTTAGTGGATTTGTGATGCTCCCTAGAGGAATACAGGTCTAAATAATAATGAATAAATGACTCATTCATATAATTTCTACCCATGGCTGATACAGTATGGATTGTATTCACTTTAATATTCCATAATGTTCATTTAACAATGTAGGTATCATTTAAACAGTAGTTACCAATAAAAATACAATGTACTTATTTCACCTGGTTCAAAACTGCAGAATAGAAATTACCTACCCAAAAAAAGGTGAAATACATAATAGGTAAGTAAGTCATATTGTTGGGGTTGCATTTGAGGAATGTAGAAAGTCAAGAATAAGATGCAGTATAACAGATGGGGATAGTTATTTTATTGATTTTTATTTCCTACACATGCATGAATTGGTTATCTGAGCCCCTGCTGTTTCAGCTGAAAATGTATTCCTTATATAAATGCCAGTATCAGTTGCTGTTATACCAGGTGAAATAAAATGACTAGAAAGTTCAGATTGGATTGGAAAGCTCAAGCAGAGCCTACAGGTTATAACACCCCTCCCCCACATAGGCTGAAGTATAGCTGGGCACAGGTTAAGCCACAGATGGGAATACTAAATCCTCAATTAGAACCTTAAAAATAAAAGGGCAGAATTGGGACTCATCATCCCCTGGTTATTTTTGTTTCCCAAAGTTGAGTTGAAACCCTTATTTTCCTTCAGGAGACAGACCTCTGACTGCAACTAAATAAATGTTTGTCTTGTCTTTTGCTAGAAGTAAAGTTCAG